CCAGTACTCTTTCCTGCCATGGCAGGGGGTCGGACTAGATGATCTACTCAGGTCCCTTGCGACCCTAGAAACTATGAAATTAGATTCTATATTTTAAAAACCCAATAAATTAGTACAATTTTCCAGGTTTAGAATCTAATTATTGGAGAGTTGTTTTAAATTTGTCCCCCACCCCCTCCATCTCCCTACTGCTACAGCAGGGAAAGCAGTGGTTAGTGGGAATCAGACAACTGGAGGGAGTCAGGTGGCCCCCTTGCCCTCTACCCCCCCCCGTTTTCCCCCTGCAGCTTTCCTGCCCCTCCCTGATACCAGTACTTCCCAACCCACCACCCCCAGATCCCTACAGTCTCTGCCACATCCTTCCCACTCCCCACAATCTCTATCCCTTTCCTCCTGCTCCTCAGGTTTTGCTACTTCCCCTCCCCACCCCCTTTACTGTCAGATGCTGCTTGGGATGTGCTCCCTTCCACAGCACAGCACATGGAAGGGCAGCCCCTGCCAGCTATGCAGCAGTATCAGTGCTGCTGAGTGGGTGGGCAGAGGACAGATTTTGTAAGTGATCCGTGCATGGGAGGGAACCCAGCACAAGCCAGAGCTGAATTGTGCCTGACAATGGGGGTGGGGGCCACAAAAGGCTGGTGTGGGTCTGACTGTAACCTGAGCTCAGAGGCAGAGACACAACTGCCTGCCTGACTCACCTCCCCCTCAACTTTATATGTGAATCTAAGATGAGGGGCTTTTATCGCCATGCTGACTGGAAGAAAAACAACTCATCAAATTTGAGTCAATATGGTAAACAATGGTTCGAATAGTTCAAAGTTATCTAAAATGCAAACACATCAGGAACAGAATTTGCACTTTATATGGTTAATTCACTCCTAAAATAAAATTAATCCACTAAAAACCTCAAGACAATTTAGTAGTAGTCATCACCAGAGCTATATCTTAATTTTATAATTCTTGTTCGTCATCTTGCTTAAAAAGGCATGAAAATTGATGTCTTCCTTTATGAACAGACAAGAGAAACTTGAATGTAGAAAGTTAACAGATAATAATCAAATGACTCTTGACAGCAATTCCTAACACTCCATTCCTTACCATGTACTTGAGAACAAAGCTATGCTTCTTTCCCATGACCTTATGCAATACAATATCTTTGACTAACTGCAATCTTGATTTAGCTCTAAATTGCACAGAAATAATCCTCCTCCAATGCAGTTAATCAGTTTGTTCTTTCTGCTAATAGTGATTGTTCCTCCCTACAGAATTTTCCTACACACAAGTTCTTTCTTTGATTCTACAGATTCCTCCGCCCTCCTGACCTGCATCTGTAGCTCTGGAGGGACCCCTGATCTCTGACTCCAGAAAGGGCCCAACCTTTTTGGCAGGCATAATGCAAATTACCCCTGCACTCTTCTGAGTGCCATTCTGATACCATTCCCTTACACAACATGCTGCTTAGCTTTCTGCTTCCTGCCCTGTGCTCCCTGCCTCATCTGCCGTTTTGTTTTCCGCTGCTTGCCTTATTTACCATTGTGCTGCTTGTCCCCTCCTTGATCTGCTGCGTGGCACATACAGAGGCTGCCACTGGCACCTGTGGCACATGCATACCATAGGTTGCCACCTCTGTCCTACTCCATGTGGTATATCTCACCACTTTCCACCTGATAGCTGTTATTTGTCACTGTCAATACCTGTAATGTCCAGCACCCCAAAAGGCTAAGTTAATGGCTTGCTGTTCTAGCTGCTTTAAAACTTAAGTGATTTCTTAAGAATACTTACATTGAAAGTGAGAAATGTGACACTCAAAAGATCTGAAATCACAGAAGTGCATTCTCATCCTTGTTAGCTGAGCTAATGTACTACACCAAATGTAGGACTTTCAATTCCTATTTTCCTTTTCAAATAGGTCACTAATATCATTATTTGTACAATGCACAAACATTGGAAAAGAGGTATGGAAGGAATCCTAATGTCTAGAATTTCCTGATCTTTACAATGCTTGATTTTCTACCTTTAAAGTCTGCATTAACAGATACCAGTATTTTGTATTAAATTCAAGTTAATGAATTAGTATTGTATTAGGAAGCTTTGCCTATGTTTCCTAATTACCCCTACCATTAGATTGTGGTTTAATGGGGGAAGCAGCTTGATGGATCTCAATTTCTTCCATAGCATCACTCATCAAATCGCGTAAAATCTGTTGTTCTGCTTCAGCAAGGACTGGTCCTTCAGAAGATGGTCGGCTAGAGGCATTTGCCTATAAGCACAAGAACTAGACAAAGTTATATTATGAATTAACTTACAACTTGATGCACAAGTGTTTATGAATACACCAGTGTAAGATCATGGAATGGAAATTCCTTTCTTTAAACGAAAAAAAGTGAGCAGCAACTAATCTTTAAATTAATGGGGGCCAAATTTTTTTGCAGACATGCCAAAAGTTGACCCTACAACCTCTCCATGTGCCACTACAATCCCCTTCCCCTGCCCAATCTGATTTCTGCCCTCAGCCCTGTGCTCCATACCCACTCTGCCCTTCCCAATCTGCTGCTTGCTTCCTGCTGCCTACCCCATGCTCTATTTCTGATGTACTGTTCTATGTTCTGCTTCCTGCCCTATCTGCCATCATACTGTCTGTCCATTCCCTGACGTGCCACATGCCAAACACAAGCTGCCGGCACCACTTGTAGTATGTGCACCGCAGGTTGGCTGCCTCTGCTTGAGATGACCCATGCCGCAGATTCCAGCAACTATTTTGAAGATTATAACTAGGGACCTATTGAAATCAAGGCAGGCAGCTGATCTTCCAGGCCAACTGAGGGACCATCTGCCATTTTTGCAGGCTAATTGCAGTAGTCCTCTCCCCTCCCCCACAGTTAGCCTAGGAGCCCCTATTGGCCCAAACCCTCACTGCTTATTGGTAAGGGAAGTTCTGTCTGTTGTGCAGACCCTTCCACCGTAACAGACTGGTGGAAGGGGCAGGACCACACAATGGGCAGCCTCTCAGTGGCAAGAGGGAAGGAGCAGCCTTTTTGGCTGCTCCCCTTTGTGCCAGTGGCTCCCCATCCCCCAAGCAGGCTGCACAGACAGGCTGCAGCAGCCATGAGGACCACTAAATCTCATGGGGAGCCAGCATTTTATTTTATTTGGGGGGGGAATGTTGCAGATTTAGTGGACAATGCCTCATTTTGTGGTTTCCACAAAATCTGTAAATTTGTGAACTGAGTAGGTCCCTATTTATAACACTGCTGCTGAGTACAGATGTGCATTGTGTTATAGAGATGTTTGGGTATTAAAGTATTTGAAAAAGACATAAAATGGCCTATACTTATCCTAGAATCTCTTTGGAATGAGTAGTAAGTATATCACAATTATATTTAAAGGACTTTTTTTTTTTTCTTTTTTTTTTTTTACTGCTTAGAGGGCATGTTTTTTTGATTGCCAAAAGCAGCGGAAAAATTACTTAACCTATTATGTGGCCTTAATTTCTCTGTAGCAATTCCCACTTTATTCTTTGGAAAAGTCTTAAATAAAGTATTTGTAATTGTTATCACTACTGTGGGCAGTAATGTTGGGAGCATTACTTTGCCATTTCATACCTTAGTTTTCTGCTTGACAGCTCCAGATTTAACTTCCGTCTTACTAGGTGGATGCAAATCCCCATAACATGCAATATATTGTATAAGATTCATTAGTGCAGCACAAGAGTCGGAGCATGTTCGGATATGGATTATATCACTGGAACAGTGTAGCTCAAAGCGTGGTTTTGTCTAGGCAGCAATAATAGATAATAAATACATAAGAGACTGCACAGGACCATCTAGCCCAGCATCCTGTATTTACAATGACAGATGAGAGAAATGTGTCCAAGTATGATAACCAGCATACCCAACTATATCCAACACCAATGTAAGGTCCCATATAATCACTATCTATACACACATTTAGATTAATCAGATTACATAATTTTCTGACCTGACCTGTTGAAATAAAAGATTTAGGAACTAAATCATACATGACTCTGGAACCTGAAATGTGGTATGACGATGAGAGAAATGATTTTTTTTTAAACTTAAAAAGGAAGGTTTCTCCCTCACCATAATTACAGCTTCTCAAAACTTTTTTAATATCAAAATGCAAGTTACAAGTGTTTATCATTTAGGATGTGCTCTTAAAAAAAAAAAAAAAAGAGACTTACTCTCTCCTGATCAGAACCAGGTTTTATTGCTGTTATGGTCAATTCCAGTAATCCCATATCCATAACACGAACATAATCTGAAAGACAAAATGAGTAATTAAAAAATTGTTCATTATCAAATATTACCTTCAATCCTGTTTCTTTTTTTAATTCCACAAACCACCATCTATCAATCTGCTAAATTATATAATGAGCAAAAGTTTTCTGTTTTGTTTGGTCTTTTCAACACCTTTTATATTTCTCGGCTACTTTGTAACAGAGGAGCTCTCTAGGTTCAGTCTGCAGCTACCTCAATTTGTTTCTGAAGCAGAAGTAGCCTTAAGGCCCCTAATTTAGAAATTAATTAAATGGCACCATTAGATCAGCTATCCAATCCCAACAATCGCACATCCTGCCATGGCACAGATGCATGGCAGGACCAGCTATTTTAGGGATCTGGTGTGAGATCCCAATTGTGAGATCCCTTTCAACTCGTCAGCACAAGCAAAAAGATGTGCAGTTTAGCCCTGCATGGGGCTGCCCAGCACAGGGTTCTGTAAGTACCGGGCCCAGCTCCTCCAAGCAAGAACTTGCAGAGCTGTGTCCCGACATCCCCACACACAGGGCTCCCAGGCACATGACTTTGAACTTGCTGAATCAAGAGAGCTCATGAGAGACCCTAGTTTTCAGCCCCCTGTTCCCTACACCCCCAGTTAAAGACACTTCCTTGTGCCTTCTATCCATATGTGAACAATCATCAGCATAAGTAGCCCTGAGTCTGGAACCAGGCCTGGGCTGCCCCATTCCAATGTCAACAATTAGCCAGCATGGGGAGAAGGCATGTTGCCATTTGTGTTCCAATTAACACACAAATCATGCTATAAATGTAATTTCTGTCAGAGGCCTGAAATATCCTTCTAATCCTGCAGGTCTGGGTCAGCTGAAGGCCAAAGCAGAAACAGCACAACCTGTTAAAGGTGGGGAATAGGTGGGAGAGTATCAGCTTTGCTACACCACCTGAAGATTCCCATGTCATACAAAATCCTCTACTAGCCCCACAGGTTACTTTTTTAGCTTCTTTGTACTACCTTATAAGTGCAAACTACCTGGATCAAGTGTCCAGTACTGAACCCCGTGTGCTTTGCAAATAAGAATGGGTTAAGACATTTCACCCATGTGAAGTATGTAATTTTACAGAATGCAATGAAGCCATGATCAGGCAAAGCGGCTGTCCAAAAAAAATCTCACAGAATGTCTTAAGCAGCAAAAGACCTCTCAGCTACCAGGTCCTGATGACGTAGTGGCCATGACTATGCATGAAGTCATCAATGTATTAACCAAGATCTAAAGTGACATGGAAAGTCAAGCAATTTGTTTCACTCCACATTCTTTAAAACACAAAATTCAAATGTGAGGGAGTCCAAATTAAGCTCTTTTGGCAGGTGTGGCTTTTGTTGTATCACAAAATAAATGTACTCACAATATTAAGTTGGGACTGCAAATTACTACTGAAAGAATGCCTGTAAAAATATGAGACTACTAGGATGATTTTCTTGTATTTTACTTAATTTCCTGCAACAGCAATTAGACTACACCTAAGATTTAAAAAAATAATTTTCCTTTCTATTTCTTGAAAAAAGATGGATGAAGAAGTCATAGCTGTCATCCAGAGCTGAATTACTTCCCATAAGTAATTTTTAAATATATAATTTATTCCAGGTTACCTCTGGAGATGATTCAGAAGTCAAAACAGGGCAAAGATTACCATATCATTGTTATTCAGTCACATTCCTTACTTTCCATCTAATTATCTATTGTTTGATTCTCATAATAAGGGTTTGTGAGTCCTTCATAATTCCAGAAGTATTTATTCTCATAAACCCCCTCTGACAGTAAATATTATTCTCATTTTACTGATGGGGAACTGGGGCACTAAGAATTTAAAGCCCAGCTCCACAAAGGGACTTAAGTGTGGAAATACAATTAGAGACCCCTAATTAGTAGGGGTGTGCAAAGTGGGCAGTATCTGATTTGGATTCGGCCCAATTTGGGGGACAGGGATTTGATTTGCTGATTCGGATCGCTGTCCCGATTCAATTCGGCTGAATCTGAAGATTCGACTACGATTCGGAGAATCAGTGATTCGGCTATAGACGCAGCTTTTTTCTACATACCTCAAGGTACCAGGTGTGGCTCGTGAACACTGAGATGGTAGGGCAGATGGAGCATCCCATGGGAGCGCGGAGGGAGGAGGGGTGTGGCTCCTGTGCACTTGGCAGCAGACCCAGAAGTGGACTGAACTACTTCCAGTCCACCGCCAAGGGTGCAGGGAACCCCCCACACCTCCTTGGCTTGGAAATTGGCTGCAGAGGGATCCGGGGTGCCCCCCCAGACCCAAGAGGCACCAGTTGTTGAGCTGGGGGGGGGTCCCCCATGCACTCTACAGTGGACCCAGAAGTACTTCTGGTCCACTTTCAGGTCTGCTGCTGAGCACATGGGGGGCTCTCCACCCCACACTCTCATGGGACACACTTAAGGTTGGGCTTCGAGTTGGGCTTAGGGAGCAGCATGAGACGCACAGGTGAAAACCCATCACACCCCCGCACCCTGAAGCCCGACCCCTGGCACAGCCAGAGGTACGCAGGGCCCGTGGAGGGAGGGACTAGCTTAGATCAGCTGCAGGGAGGCAGCTGAGAGGAGCTGAGGAGGGTCTTGCCCTGCCATAGCTCCTACTTCGCCCAGACCCGCAGCAAGACACGCGACCGGAGCTGCGCGAACAGGCCACACAAACAGGCGCGCTCGTCTGCCCAGTGCACAAGTTTAGCATTGGAGTTTGTGCAGGAGGGCAAGTGGGAAGGCCCAAGGCCCTGCCAGTGAGCCCCTAGAGCAGGTAGTCCCATCAGTAGCTGGCCTACCAGCAGCATGATGCAGATGGGCACACGCCGCACTCAGAGGGTCCCCTCAGAGTCTGTGGCCTTCCCCTCTGGCACTTCTGAGGCCTCCACCCAGACGGAACCCATGGTTCCGGGCTCCACGCAGACAGAGTCCCTGGCTCTCGGCTGCCTGGCATATTTCCAGGGTCCTGGGACCAGGAGCACGGCCACGTCCCCTTGCAGGGTTTGCTCCACTTTGGAGTCTCTGGGGCATCAGAGGAGCTCCAGGCTGCAGTCCAGAGACTGTGTGCCATCAGGGATGGCGAGCAAGAAATAGACTACTACTGCTAGGCCCTTCACCCCCTGGAGGTGGAGGGTAGACCAAGGTCATCTTCCAGGACAAGGGAGGACTCGGGGATCTCCCATACTGTCCAGCCAGGGGGTTGGACCAAGGTGGTCAAGGGCCCCAAGGTCCGAAGGCCCACCACACCAAGGTCCTCTCCCCTCTGGGGCTTTGCAACAGATACAAACCCCTTGCAGCTCCAGTAGAGCCTGAAGAGATGCCAGCTCCTGCAGGCAAGGGAAGATCACCTATCCCTACTCTCCCCAAGACGAAATGCAGAGTAGTTGTTGTGGGAGACTCCATCCTGAGGGGGACTGAGGGGGCATTCTGCCGCCCCGACCCCCTAGCTCGGGAGGTCTGCTACTTCCCAGAGGCCCGCATCCGGAACATAGCAGAAAGGATCCCAAAGATTATCCAGGCCTCTAACCACTACCCTATGCTCTTTATCCATGTGGGCACAAATGACACAGCTCGGAGCAATCCAAGCCGGGTTATGAGAGACTACAGGACTCCGGGAGCAGGGCTTAGGGGTGCAGGTGGTCTTTTCCTCGTTCCTCCCAGTTGTTGGTCATGGGCTGAGGAGGGAGAGACGGGCTGAGGTAGTCAACTAGAGATTGCAGCGCTGGTGTCATCATGAAGGCTTCGGCTTCCATGATCATAGCCCGCTTTTTGGTGAGGGAGGAAGTGGGCTGCTGGGAAGAGATGGCCTCCACCTCTCCGTTGGGGAGGAGGCTCTTCTCAGCCAGACTGGCTGACCTGCTCAACTGGGCTTTAAACTGCCGCGGTATGGGGGGAGTACTGCCACTGCAAACCCACTGGGCAGCTTTTGGAAACCCAGCAGGCTAAGGCACTCAAGGGAACCCACCCCTAACCCAGCCCCAGAGTGATCTGTAGGGAAGGAAAGGGCCCCAATGGGATACTTACATGCCTGTACACCAATGCCAGGAGCCTGGGGAACAAACAGAAGGAACTGGTCCTTCTGCTAAACAAAAAGGATTATAATCTCATAGGGATAACAGAGACCTGGTAGGACTACACCTACGACTGGGCCACAGGTACAGATGGCTATACCTGGTACAGGAGAGATTGTGTAGAAAAAGGGAGCGATCCTTGGAAGCTCAAGCAATGTCTATCCCATCTCGGAGGAAAGGCAGCAAAAGGGCACAGCAGTCCCCTGGCTCTGCAGGGAACTAGTGGACCTTCTGCATCTAAGAAGAAAGACCTATAAAGGATGGAAGGCTGGATCCACCCCAAAGGAGTAGTACTCTGCACTGATCTGTATCTGTACAGAGCGAGCCAGAAAAGCCAAGGCTGCGACTGAACTCCAACTCACTACACATACCAAGGACAATAAAAAGTCCTTTTTTAGATATGTGGGGAGTCAGAGGAAAAGCAAGGGTAACATTGGACCCCTGCTAAACCATATGAATCAACTGACAATTGACACCCAGGAAAAAGCCAACCTGCTTAACGGCTATTTTGCGTCAGTTTTTCACCAGCCCCAAGACGGCCCTGATCAATATGGTACAGGATGGCCAGAGCAAGGGAGAACTGTTACCCAACATCAATGTTGACCACGTGAAGGAACACCTTGAGAGGCTGGACGCCTTCAAGTCAGCTGGCCCAGACAGCTTACACCCCAGGGTACTTAAGGGGCCGGCAAGCATCATAGGTCTGCCACTGGCATGAATCTATGAGAACTCATGGCACTCAGACAAAGTGCCCGAAGACTGGAAGAAGGCTAATGTGGTGCCAGTCTTCAAGAAAGGGAGGAAAATAGATCCGGGGAACTACAGGCCCGTCAGCCTGACCTCTATTCCAGGAATATTCATGGAAAAAATAAATCAAAAAGACCATTCTTGACAAACTGGCTGAAAGCAACTTCCTGAGGGACAGCCAGCATGGGTTTGTTGCGGGTAGGTCTCGCCTGACCAATCTTATCTCCTTCTACAACCAGGTGACATATACCCTGAACAAGGGAGAAGTAATTGATGTCATATATCTTGACTTCAAAAAAAGCTTTTGATCTGGTATCCCACAATCGTCTTATAGAAAAACTGGCCAACGGCCGCCTCAGCTACATCAACTGGCTTCAAGGTTGGACCCAGAGAGTGGTAGTTGACAAAAGTCAATCATTGTGGTGTGTCGTGACCAGTGGGGTCCCCCAAGGTTCCGTCCTTGGGCCTATTCTTTTCAACATCTTCATTAATGATATGAACACTGGTTTCAGAAGCAGGCTAGCCAAGTTCACTGATGACAGCAAACTCTGGCGTAAAGCGTCCACACCCAAGGACAGGATGGTGATCCAGGCCGACCTTTACAGGCTCAGAAAATGGGCAGACGAAAACCTGATGGCCTTCAATGCTGAAAAATGCAAGGTGCTCCACCTAAGGAAGAAAAACCTGCAGCATGCTTATAGCCTCGGCAGTGCTATGCTTGCTAGCACCATGGCCGAAAGGGACCTGGGGGTCATGATAGACCAAGGTGAACATTACCCTTCAATGTGATGTTGCAGCCGGCAAAGTGAGCAAAACTCTGGCTTGCATCCATAGGTGCTTCTCTAGCAAATCCCAGGATGTCATCCTTCCACTGTACTCAGGCATGGTGAGGCCGCAGCTGGAGTACTGCATCCCATTCTGGGCTCCACAATTCAAAAAGGATGTGGAGAAGATTGACAGAGTCTAGAGAGCCACACACATGATCAGAGGGCAGGAAATAGGTCTTACGATGAGAGGCTGAGAGCTATGGGACTCTTCAGCCTCAAAAAGTGCAGGCTCAAGGGGGACCTGGTGGCTGTCTATAAGTATATAAGGGGTGTGCATCAGGATTTGGGGGAACACCTGTTCACCAGAGCACCCCATGGGATGACAAGGTCAAACAGTCACAAACTTCTCCAAGAGCATTTCAGGCTGGACATAAGGAAGAACTTTTTTACAGTCCGAGCCCCCAAGGCCTGGAACAGACTTACGCCAAAGGTGGTGCAAACACCTTCTCTGGACTTCTTTAAGAGTCAACTGGATGTTTATCTTGCTGGGATCCTGTGACCCCAGCTGAATTCCAGCCCCTGTGGCAGGGGGCTGGACTCAATGTTCCAAGGTCCCTTCCAGCCCTAATGTCTATGAATCTATGGCTGAATGGTCGAATCTCTTCGAATCAAATCGAAGGCTTCCAATTCGATTCAGAGAGATTAATGGGTCTTTTGATTTGATTCAGATTTGGAGATTTGGCTGTCGAATTGGGCCAAATCTCCTCCAAATCGAACCAGCGACCAAAGCCTGGTACAGCCCTACTAACTACCAGGATATAGACAAGGTTGGGGTGAAAGCACCTTCAACTCTTGCTGTTGAAGTACTGCTACTGTGTACAAAAGAATGCAATATTCATAGGACTAAAGCAGAAGCAAAGAAGAGGGATGACGACACGGCAGTAGCCCAGTGATGAAGGTGTTCTCTGGGTAGGGGAAGTCCTGGATTCCAGCCCCTGCTTTCAAAGCTGCTTGTCCATTTTATGCAGTGCCACTCCAATGCAGATATAAGCAGTCCCTAGAACAGGGATGATTATCAATCTCAGACTAGTCTCATGGTCAGGACATTCTGCTGGGAGATGGGAGTTTGAACTGCCTGAATTTTGGAAAGTTTTCTAAATCAGGTCTCCTACTTCCTTACCACTGGGATAGCAGAATCTCCATATGAAATTCACCAGAAAAGTGACTATTTGTTTTTATACAACCTTAATTTTGTAAAGGTTTTTGATGTCCCGACCTACAATTTTCATAAAGGCAGGTAAATGTTAAATACTGATAAACCTGGAATAGAACCATAGAGAACAGGACTTTTATAGCCCTGTTCAATAATATTCACCTGCACACACAGCTCAAAACTGCACTGGCCTTTTCTTCCTGTATACTATACTACATACTCAGGCATTATTCATTGTTATACTACACCACATCTCTCCTCCAGTAGCCTACAGGAATCTTTAAAAAATTATACATTTGTTTAAATTAAGACATTATAATACATTTTGTACATAGCAACTGTTATACTTCTGAAAGTCTTACCTCTATGCATGTTCACTGCAACTGTGTTACACTTGTCTGACAAATGTAAAGCAGCCTCATCTAGGATTATTCTATCAAAAGAAAAAGAGAGAAACTAAAGTTTTGAGTAACAACTGCATCTCACATATACACAACATATATTATCTTAAACAAAATCAAAATATATTTAAAACATAAACATTTACATATTTCATTGTAACACTTCTTAAACATTCAAGATTTACAAGAAAAAATGTATTTCCAGAATTCGCTAAGGCCATTTACAAGGCTACCACAATAGAAATAGGCCAAATCAAAATAGTTTTTAAATTCAAGAATACAAGTGAAACATTTCTTAACTAAAAATAGAATAACCATGACATCCATTTAAGAGGAGCAATAACAATTAAGTCTTTTCTTATTTAGTGTAGTATCTGATGTAACCACCTCTTGTTTTAGAGATCTGATGATACAATCTCTTAATGGCGCACATACAAACAGCTGATTTTTTTCAGTCTCTCTCAAGCATACTAAAGGTGCCATAACAAAAGTGACCAACAATGGGATAAGCAATTCAAAATGGGTCCTGGGGAGTCAATCCAGGCACATTACAATCCAAAGCCCAGAACAGATCTAATTCTTCACCCCAGGTGAACACTTTCCAGCTAAAAGATAAAGATGCAAGCTATACTATTCAAGTGAGCATCTAAATGTATACCTGAGAGTAGAAGAAGACTTATCTAATGCAACACTGCTGGAAATGCTGAAAGTTTCAACGGTAAGCAGAGATCTGATTGGCAGAAAGATAGGTCTACAAACAAAAGGGAGAAATAAAATGTTATCATTTTCTTGCACTTTTGAAGTGCAAGTCTTACAATTCTTGCTCAACCACAGTCCCTCAAGTCCTAAACTAGTGCCTATCCTCTCATTAATAGCCCTTAAAATACTCAAATTGTAAGTAATTATTGCAAGTTTTCAATTTTCTCTAAACTAACTTTCAAAAATACCTACCAATATATAAACTGAAACATTCTTAAAAAGCATCCAGCTAAACAGTAACAGTAGCATAAGATGACGCATACTTTCATTTAATGTACCTGTAATCAAGAGCGCAACTCCACAGGTGAATATGAAAAGTTGTAACGGAAGCTGGAGGATTATATCCCAAAACAGGCTCATCAGAAATGTTCAAGAAACATAAAATCTAAAAATTACAAAAATATTATTATAATCCTTCAAACTATACTAGTTTAGTAAATAATCATGCATTTTAAAGAAAGAAAATCCTTAAGTGAGAAGGTGCAAAATGAAAACAATTATATAGGAGAATAGAGGAGATCCCCAAGCAACAACATTTTTTATTTTTAAATTGAAAATTATTTATATATTGGATTCAGTGAATGGTATGGAACTGGTGAACATAATCCATCTTTAGGTTAATGATATCTCCCATCCAAAGCCACAGCATAGTTTGAACTCAGTAATTTGAAGCTCTGGAAGTTGGATCAGTTGGACTTTGATGATCACTGAAAAAGGAATTGCAACAAATGAGATGGGAAATGAAGGCATACATAAGGAGGCGAAAGTGTAGCAATATTACTGAGTTCAAACTACATTCTTTTTGGACATTCAAGACAGAAATTAATGTCCAAAAAGAGCCACTACATTTCTAAGAACAGAATGAGACAGTGATACTTAGTCAAACGAAAAGCTCAAAGGCCTAGATTTTTTTTTACCAAGGGTTAGGTCAGTCATTAATTTAACACTTACAGTAGTAAAACTTTAATATAAAATCAACAACATTCAGTTCTCTGACCTGTTCATGCCAGCTTAGGCCTGAAGGCAAAACCCTGTGCTGCAGAGTGGCTCCTCTTAGTCCTACAGCAACTAGAAATTCCTGCACAGAAAAGTTTTACAAGTGAGTTTATGCAATACTGGGGTGCATTACTGTGAACAGATAAAACAATTATACAACGAGGAAGGACTTGCCTCTGGTCAGAAAATCTGTTTTAACTGTTTCAAGTGTTCGTTCCTTTCCTATAGTAAAATAAGCTAAATCAGGGCAACTACCACTGAAATGAAAGAACTACTAAATAAAATGTGATTTAGCTTTCACTTACTGTGGGACAGGAACAAACACATGGAACAATTACAACGGATCAGACCAAAATGCAAATAAGCTTCCTTCTTCCTCCTACCCCAGTTTTCAGTCAGTATAATTATTGACCTTCTACATCCCACATTAGTTCAGACTTGAACTAATTTCAACAGGTGCAAGATCAGGTCCAACTATGAATTCAGGAAGAGAGAGTTTCAGAAAGATGGCACTATGCTAATGATGTACCCATATCTATACTTTTAAAATCATCCACAGATTATGTTTGAAGTCTGTATCAAGAACATTGTCATGTTGTGCACAGTAATATGTAGACTAAAAAATACCAAGAAGCTTCATCAAGAAACTCCAGACCTCCCTCCCCAAACACCTGTATGTCACTGCTCGGACGTGGAGGCAAAGCAAAGCAGAGTCAAAGATAGGCAAGTCTAGATAAGGGAAACGTGGCTAACTGAGCAAAAAGTATCATCCTTTAAAGAAAAGTCATACAGCCAGTGTCATGAAATATACAAAGGTTGCTGTGCTGCTAAACGGCACACACAAAGTAATACGACCATAAGGCATATTAGTATGGTTGTATAATATACCTAAAACATTCAAATTTCAAAAACCACAAAAGCAACAGTTTATAATGGAAACAGAAAGTTGAAGTTATTTCTGTCTACTGATAGCCTTTACAAAAATGTATGAACACTGTAAATCCTTTATGCAAACTGAAAACACCTGAACAATACATGGAAGCTAATCTTTGGAAACACGTACCTTTGTATTGCTTTCCAGTTTATCAGACTGGATTTTCACGGCAACAGAGAGCATACTTAAACAGTCCACTCCCACGCCATCTGGAGACAGCCTGCAGAGACCAACTTCTTCAGAAAAATAAATGGTAGGTTCTAACCAATGGGGATGTATCATACTAGGCAGGCGTATCTCAGATGAAAGAACAGTTCCATCGACCATACCTGCATAGAGATTGTAGTCAGAAAATTGTGATTTAGATAAAGCTAATGGAAGTCCTTGTCCCTTTTCCTGGCTATTATTTTAATTATTATTAAATATAGTCAGCAATGCACAATTAAAACTGCGGATCCCACTGGGGAGGTTTCCAATGTTCTCCAACATTTACAACAATCAATAGCAATTAACTTTGCCATATTATTAGCAAAATAGAAACCACAGATCAAACAAGACAACAAGGAAAGCTTCTGTTTGTGTAGTGTTTCTCCCTAGATAGTGATAGTTAGGTTAATGTTATACCTCTTCTTCTGATAATGACAGATGGTGCCAGATGTACTTTCAACCCTCCAATGACTGCTGAAATACAGATCTACATACTGATGGTCTCTAAACCCCACTTCCATTAGTTTGAAGTTACCTGAAGAGGAAATCTTATAGCTAATAGGTCCATTCTCTTTCTCTTGAAACAATGAAACTATCAGCCATCCAGACTACTTAAAATTCTCTAGTGTCTGACTGCAATTTAGGTAGCCAAGAAAGAACTCTGCAATAGAAGTTTAAAGGGTATGGACTGAGTTTTTTTGGAATTACGTAGCAATTAATAAGTGGGGAAAAGAACATTTAGGAAGACAGAACAGCTTCTGAGGATATGCTGCTGGAGGCCCACAAATCTTTTAAAGGCCAACAGATGCTGAAGCAGTTTTATGACAGGTTTCCAAAGCGAACATAGTTACTATTATTTTTACTTATGTTACCATTGTTCAAAGAAGCCAGAGTCATGCAGCAGGACTCCATTACTCTAGATGCTTTACAAACAAAAAGATTTCCTTGCCCAAAAGAACTTAAAATTTTACCACTAGTTAGCCTTGCATCAAATTTTTATGCAATGAAATGTTAATTTCCTACCTTGATGATATAAACTGAGGCTGCTAGAATGAAGACAGATGTAATGTTTGTCTTCAAAACCCTCATATTTAGTCACACAGAACAATGAGCCACTCTTAAACTCAAACCAGAATTCACCATGCTTTCCTTCCAGTATATTTCCATCATCTTCCTGAAGGAAAAAAAAATCAAAGAGAGATATCACAACTTGTGGATATTTTGTTGTCATTTAAGATCTTATAATGCAACGTACCACTCACTACTCTTATATCCATATTTAGTTTCTCAGCTCTAATATGATGCAATTATGTTAAAATATTATAGAACAACAGTAACTTAAGTTACTTTAATTGTAATATTAAGATTATGATACTAAGACACTTGAAGGATGTTCATACAGCTTTTTAAATTTTTTTCCTGTTTGTATAATAAAATTTCCAAAAAACAATAATGTAACAAATGGCATGAAAGCTGCTGGACAAAAAAAGTAATACCATGACTTATACACCATGCCTGGAAGAAAACTCAGCCAGATTTAGCTTGCCATTTCCAGCATCTCACCTTTACATCTGTGAATATTGACACTAATCCATGGTTAACATTTAACAGAACAGAAAGAAAGCTCTGTGTGTTCTTGTTCTGCGATTCAAGCTTCTTCTTCCTGCGTGAACGATAGTTTGGATCAACCGTAGAATAATATTGCAGAGTTTCCTCCTCAGATCCACTCTCATCATCTACTAGAAAAAAACAATAAAATGGCTTGACACTAACATGCCCACAATAGCAAAGGCAAGTATACATTATTTTTCTATCTTTAATAAAATTCAATTTCACGAGAATATTTCAGTCAATATGAAATGCTGAGAAAAATTATTTACATTTATTTTTTCAGGATGTGTAATTCCTTTACTGCACAATGTAAGCTTTCCCCTTATCAACAATAGTTTCAGCCAAGTGTGTCTTGTATCTCTGTAGTGCTAAAATATTTAAAGTATATTACCATAATGTATTGCAGATTTAAATGGACTAAAGCTGTCTTTATTAAAAGTATTGATCAACTGGCTGGCCACTGAGAGTCCAACGCCATATGAAATATTTTCAAATGTTTCTACAGGAGACGGGGCTGTAGGTTCCCACAATAATAAATCATTGCTGATCCTAGAAAGAAAAATATGTTATTACTACATTGATCATCTGACTATTTTCCCACTTGACTTAAAGCTAATTGTGTAACAGTCCCTTACAGATTTCATACAACACAGTCTGTAAAAGGATGGGGAAAAGTTCAAGAGCAAAACTGGAGTAACATATTGATAAAAAAAGAGATTAGATGTCATTAAGCATGAAACTAAGCCTAAAATTCTGCTTCCTTTATTTATTATTAATATCTGATTAGATGCATGCAAACATTAGACAGCCAGTTCAGTATTTAGTGGTGTGGTACAAATTCTTTAAATGAATTTTGACCTAGTTCAGTTATTATATTCTGAAGAAATTATTGTGATTACTTCCTAGTGTCCAGGCAATTATGCAGGGGGAGAAATTTCTTGGCTTGAGAAAAAGTCTGTTAGAGAATCTGAAAAAAGATTTTGCTTGAAGCAGAAATGAAGTTTTAAGCAAAGAGGCCCAAGTAGTTAATTCATGGTTCAGTTTACTCAGAGATGTCATACTTGTGTGGGGTGGCTGAGATCAAAAGGGCACAGTATCTCTAATTTTTCAAAACCAAAGTTAAATACATTTAGTTTAATTATATGCATGTCATTTGTTAATTCAATTTTAATGTTATTTCTCTGTAGAATCCAATAGTAACTCCTATAGTAATGTTTATCCTTTCCACTCATAATTTAATTTCTTTTTTAATGGTAGTGTTAAAACCACAAAATTTAAATGCATGTTTTCTTTCTTCTGCCTCAAGTGGTCTGTGAAGGGAAGAGAATCTAATGATGATCTATATATGAAGAAATATCCA